ATTTTTGGAAAGTCAACATCAAAATATTTCTCCCTTAATTTTTCAAAAAGTCAATATGTACGAATCTTTTTGGGACGGGGGAGTATAAAAATATCATATTCTACCATTCATTCATAACCCAAAATTAAAGTAAAACACAAATCAAGTGTCATAAGCTATGACACCAATACTTTTGATAGCAGGTACGCCTTGATCACTTTAAGTTGTCTTCTTGTTTGGTCCATTATTTTGAAAAACATTACTCCCATCCGTTCCAGAAAGAATTTCCTATTTTGATTAACGTGCAAAATCCCGTAGATTTTAAAATGATTTTATTTGAAAATTGGTAAGGAAATAACACATAAAAAAATTATATTTAAAAACTACATCGAAAACTCTACAAAATAAGAGACGACAAGAATATTTTATTTTATCAAATGATCAATGAAAACACGCAAACAAATTGGAGTTATCGAGAGGCCGTAATAGTAAACAGGAAAGACTTTTTGGGACGGAAGGAGTATTTAATTTGCACCACTCTTATTACCACCGACGTTATATATAAAAGCCAAGATCAATCTAATGCAAACCCTATTCCTAGTTTAATTTAGGTCTGTTTGGTTAGGAGAATTGGAAGAGCGGTTATATCAAACCCTTGATTGGGAGAGTATTATTGTTTAGTTTTATTTGTGGTTCATAGTGTTTTCTTTTTTTTTTAAGTACTCCGTATTATTTTTTGACTAAGTCCTAATCATGTAAATATCTAAACCTTGTGTTTTAATCCTATTTAACTTTTTTCTGATTATTTCTTCCAAAATCCAACAAGTTAAATTTAGATTGTGGATGACAATTTCTACCTGACCATTTGGATACCGCCCACTCACTCGATCCACTTTAATGGATAAAAACTCGAATGAATACGGATCATGCATGGATGAATTAGATAACGGACCTAATGCATGCAAGAAAATAGTTATCTCGTCTGTTACCTGATGCATCCATATTTATAAAGAAAAAATAATTTAATGCATGTGTTGGAGTTCAGTAAAAAGTTGCGAGGTGACTGCCAAAGCCCGTACAGAGACTTACGCGAACGACAAACGTTACCAGGATATAAATAGGCAAATCTAGGAGGAAGCTTCATATAGATTTCACCCAAAAGATCCCCATGCAAAAATGCATTATTAATATCTAACAGATGCACCTTCCAACCTTTAGCAATAGCAACCGATAATAAAACACGAACTGTGGCTAACTTAATTAGCCACTGGAGCAAAGATATCAGTAAAGTCATCGCCAAATTCCTGGTGATTACCAACACAACTAAGCAAGCTTTGTCCCTTTCAATTCTTTGGTGCCATCAGATTAAATGGGTGTAGAGCAGTAGAGGTATTCTTTCCTCTTTCACTACTTCCCCTTTTGGCTTTGCTTTTGTGTTTTTTTTTTGAATGTTTTTGGTTAATAAAAGAGATTGAGAAGAAAGATTGATGATTAGAATGAATGATTTGAGAGAGAAAAGAGAATTAAGAATTGGTGATGAAGAAAAGATCTAGGTCTGAGAATCTTTGATAATGAGTTGTAGAGAAATAACTACTCCCTCCGTTCCACAAAACTCTGATCTTCCTCTTTCGTTTTTTTTGTTTTCCACAAAACACTTCCACTTTCTATTAAAAAACCACTTTTACCCCTACTTTTTCATACCCTACCTATCACATCATACTTTTTCACTAATAACCAAACCATCACATCTTACTTTTTCACATCACACCAGGGGCAAAATTGGAAAGTTAACAAAAATTGCATTTTCCTTATTTTTCTCCATAGTCAAAACCGGAAGGGTTTTGTGGAACGGGGGGAGTATCATTTTTTCTTGATTTTGAGAAGATATGAAGATGAGTTGATAATGTTTTTAAGGTGTTGCCAATCTTTAAAATTGAAGGAAGAACATCGGTCCAGCGGGCGGCTAATGGTGGTGCCGCTCGCCAGAAGCGAGCGCAGGGAGTTTTAGGTCACCAAGAGCGGTGGTTCCGATACCATGTTGAAATATTGGAATAATAATATTGCTCATTAAAATATGAAGTACATGATGAAGTATATATATGCGATACTTCTAACACAACTAGAAAGTTAGAGAAAGGAAACTAACTAAAACATAAAATCTATCTTAAATAGGAATAGGAAGTTTACTTATAATCAAACACCACAATAACTAATATTACTAGAAGTAATATTACTAGAAGTAATATTATTATTATTATTATTGTTGTTGTTGTTGTTGTTGTTGTTGTTGTTGTCTAACACTCATCACCATTAGTAAATTAAAAATTATAACTCATTTCAGCTCATAAAATTACCTAATTATACTTATCAAAAAATTAAGTACTCCGTAATTATTTATTGAAATATATCATTATATTGATGAAAATTGTACAATGTAGTATATGCTCATAAATATTCAATTTATTAAAGTACATAGAATTAATGTCCTAGTCGAGTTGGATTGTGAGACTCTCCATTTGCGAGAGTGAGAGTCATCGTGATGCCGTTGAATCATAGGGTTTTAGGCCATACATACTGTTGCTAATTAATTGCTCGATATCCTAAAACTATTTTTTCCCAGTTGCTATTACATGATCAAATTTTATTCATTTTCTTTATGTATATGTATTAGTTAATTATTTCATAAAATAATATAATTATGTCATCTCTTGTATTGTACGAAGTAGAACATTTGTGTGTGTGTGTGTGTATATGTATGTATGTATGTATATATATATGTATATATATATATAGTTTATATATATATACACACATATACACACACACAGAGTACGTGTATGGATAAGTTTTACATTTAAAATATACACTCATAGTCAAATAATTTTTTTTTTTGAAAACTATAGTCAAATAAATTAATTTGAAAATAATTTTATTTATACATTATAAATTAAAGTGGAATATTATTTTTAGGATGAAGGGAGTAATTAATTAAGGGTGCTTGTGAAAAAGTTTATCCCTACATGGCTACATGCACACACGCTCATATATTACTCCTTTATCCCGAAAATATGGCTATGTTCTCCTTTAAGGGCATTTATTATTTGTGGCATGCTTTGAGGTCTTTACTTTACGAGTACTTAATATGAAATGAACACATGAATATGAGTAAAATATTAATTAAGAATATTATACGAGTAGTAAATAAAAAACAATTCAACTCCTTTTATACTTTAATTCGAGTTAATAATGACAATGATATACTTTTACTTCCACCTAAAATATTTTTGCCCAAACTACTTTTTGTGCATCTTATAAAATATTGTTACTTCCACCTAAAATGTCAAAAATGCAAGTAAAAGTTGTTTTAAAAATATTTTTGAATATTTTAGGCACAGTCAAAATATTTTATGAGATACGTCATTGTTACACTTTCACACTCACCACACTTACCGGGGGATTAGGCGGGGTAGGAACTGTCAATTTTACGAAAGGGACACCGGAGCACCCCCGGGTCATCCCAAACCCAATGTCATGGGAACTCCACCCATATAACATTATACTCCTTCCGTTCTCAAAAACACTTCCTCTTTCATTTTTTTCACTTCCAACAAAACACTTCCACTTTCTATTAAAAAACCACTTTTACCCTTACTTTTTCATACCCCACCTATCACATCATACTTTATCTCTAATAATATATCCCTCATATCTTACTTTTACCTATCACATCAATGGCAAAATTGGAAGTCAACTACAATTTACTCCCTCCGTCCCACTCTTTTTGTCCACTTTCATTTTTGCACACCATCCAATGCACTTCTTTAATCCATTTTATCTTGTAATTTGTGTATTAAAAAATTATAAAAATTATATATTAATAATCTACATGTTAAGACAAATCAAACAAGATCACACATGACTATTTTTAGATTTACACATTGAGAGAATTTGATGAGTCAAAGTGCTTAGATGAACAGTTCCAAAAGTCAAAACTGGACAAAAAGAGTGGGACGGAGGTAGTAATACTTTCTTATTTTTACGCAAAGTACAAAGAGGAACACTTTTAACAAACGGAGGGAGTAAGTTTTATTCCAATATAAAATATTAGAGATTCTATTTAAGTTCTTTCTGTATATGCCATATACTCCGTATTATAGAAATATTTGCACTAAATAGCACTTAAAATAATGCATAATGACTAAAAGTGCTATATTGGGAAGAAAAACACATGTGGTGCTATTTCAGGAAAGCCATTATGTTTTAGTGATATTTAAGTAAATTACTCTATATTATATTCTAGTCCCTAAAAAATGATCAATTAAATCAGGAGGGAGAAGTAAAATGATTTTCTCTCACTTTATCAAAATGAGAAGAATTTGGTTTACCCTATATAGTACATTTTGGCTTCTCATTTTTTCTTTTACTTTTCATCTCGAACTAAACAAGAAAAACTATTTTCCACTTCATTTTCATGTCCTTTTCATTCAAATTTCTTGAAGCAAACATAGTGTAAAACAAAAAGTATGGGATCTCAATGGTGCAAAGATTAGACGGGTTGATCAAGTAGGATATACTTTCTCTTTTTTTCATTCCTTGAAGCAAACATAGTGTAAAAATATTTCTCTTTTTTTCATTCGTCCAAAAAAAATTCTCATATATACTTATCACATCACATATATTCATTATTAATCTATCTATCAAATCTTACTTTTACACATCACATCAAAAAACATTTTTATAAACTCAATACGAGAATATAGTCTTCTTAAATCCATTAAAAATCAAAATGTCCCAATGTTTTTAGGGACAGAGTATATATATACATATACAAGGACATACATAGAGACGATAGAGTTATTCACGAGTGCTAATTATAAGTTTCTCATCATCTTCTTCTATATATATATATATATATATATATATATATATATATATATATATTATATATATCTATATATATATATATCTACCGCTTCTACAATTAATTTATAAATACAACTTATTGTATTGTTGAGAGAAGAGTGGCAGGAATTGAAGAAGAAGAAGAAGAAGAAGGATATATATACAAAGAATGGTTCCAAGGGATGAGCAAAAAGGAGATGATAATAATAATAATCTGCATGAGAAAATGCAGCTTCTTCGATCTGTTACCAACTCTCAAGCTGTAATAATTGATATATTTTATTCATTTTCATCAACCCATTTACATATATCATGTACACACACACACACACACACACATATAAAATGTATGTGTATATTTATGTATGTTTATGTGTGGATGGATAGATGAGTGAGACATCAATCATAAGGGATGCATCAAAGTATATAGAGGAGTTGAAGCAGAAAGTGGAGACTGCTAACCAGCATATGTTATTGGCTTCTTCTGCTTCAATTGTTTCAACAGATGACAATATTAATTATGATATTAATAATAACCCTTCATCTTCATCTCCTCCTGTAAGTATCTATGAGCTACTATTCAATTTATTATTCCCATTTAATTTGTTTTTTGTGTGAAATGTGTTTCATGTTATGTGGATATATCAGGAAAAGATTGGACTTTGAAGCTAAGTTGAGTGTTGATTAACCTTAAAATATAATTACAAAGTATATATTCCCTTCATTTCTAAACAATTCATCATTATGTTTTTATACACTCCCTCCGACTGTGATTATTCGTCTAGTTTTAACTTTTTAAATTAAATTTGATAAATTTTGACCATTAATTAACTAAAATTGAATAGGTATTGATACTGATATAATTTTACTAGATTTATTTATAAATTAAAATATTTTCAGTGTAATGTTTTCTCTTTTTACTGTATCATACTCCCTCTGTCCCATAAAGTGTTACTCACTTTGACTAAAGTTGAAATTAAGGGAGAGATAATTTTGTGTTGACTTTCCAAAAATATCCTTGATGTGATGGGTAAAAGTAGGATGTGATGTGTAGATTATTAGGAAAAAGGTATGATGTGATATGTAGAGTTTGAAAAAGTAAGGAGTAAAAATGGTTTTTTAATAGAAATGAGTAAGGAATTGTGGGACACAATTTTTTTTAAAACGTGTAAATCTTTTTGGGACGGAGAGAGTATTATTTTTATTCAATTATAAGTCAAAGATTCAACATAGCTAGTTATAAAATGTCAAAATTGAACAATTATAAAATATTCGATCAAAACACACTAGTAAAAAAAAGTTAACGAGAATTCAGTAATATTGAATTAGATCAATGTAGTGTAAATCAATACTTCCTTGTCCTCCAATGATTTCCACACACTTTTCATAGGATAAAATTTAACTCATACTCCGGTATTGTTTGTTTATTTTTAATACTCATTTCATAAAAATAGAAATATTTGCACTAAATAATATTAAAAGTTAAGTCATTTTCCTAAATAGTATTTAAACTGTTTTATTTTCTAAATAGCACTTAATAATATCATAAAAGATGAATAGTGTCGAGTAATGCCGAACTTTATTTGAATAATGACTAATGAATAAAGACTAAAAGTGCTACATTGGAAAAAATCCATATGATGCAATTTAGGGAAAGTCATTATGTTTTAGTGCTATTTAAATAAATTCTTCAAAATAATATATGCTTGTCATATCTTATTTTGTAAAACTTTTCATATAATTTTTATAATATAAACCAAGTTTTAAAATTTTACACCTACAATCAAATAAATTGAATTAACCAAACCTCAAACGCATAATGAGATTATTTATGAGGGAAGGAGGGAATATTACGAAGTATTTTCTATCTAAATTTGTTTCATGTTAATTTTTCTGGATATTATACCACTTTTATAGTTTTTTTATTCGGAGGCTGTTGGAAGTATACAGCAGTTGGTTTCTGGCAGAGGTGATCACAGGTCCATGGACTGTTTTTTTTATGCTCCGTATTACAGAGTAGAAAATTTCATTTTTTTTAAATAATATTTTTGACCCAATATATCAGTCTTTTTTCTTTGACCAAAATATAGATCATCCATCGGTGGCATTTGTGTCAATGTGTGTGTAGTGTTTTAAAATAATTAAAAATTTGATATTTCAAAACTATATTCTAAAATAAATCAAATTTAAATATATTTTTTATAATTCATGGTCAAAGGGTGTCACGGTTTTGAAGATAAAAGTCAAAATGTGACAATTTTTTTTGGAACGGAGGAAGTATATATATATTCTTAGTGTTGAAGTGGAAAAGAGAAACGAATCACTTTTAATAACTTATTATATCAATGCAAAATTAATGAAGTATATTACAATAATTTTATTTAGATACATTAGTCATTTTATTGAAAAGTGAAAATATTTTGTTTAAAACAAAGCATAAAAATAGTTTAAAAACGGAGGGAGTATAAGATTACGAAGTACTAACTTAGGTATCGTCATTTTAAATTTTTACTAACATTCAAGATCGTTTCATATAAAATCAGAAGGGGAAAAAAGTTGTTTCAATAATACACGATTCCATATTTCATTTTTTAAATCTGTTCCAAAACAAGTTTTAAAATTTTTAAAGGTGAGATTTGAAATAATGGAAAATATTAAACATTTCCTAGGCTAGAGAAAGTAAAACAAAAGGTTAAAACAGTTTCTTTTAATGATTTTGCTATGAATAGCTATTTTTTCCCCAAGTCAACCATTTGCCATGAAGAGCAATATTTTTTAAATTATAGTAACGCAATTTTTTTCTAATACAAATGGTTCAAAAAAATAGTCTTGCTAATTAGGCGTAATACAATATAATGGTTTGAAACTAAGTAGTTAGGCCTTCATTAAGTTTGTAATTTGCACCGCAACTTGCATATCGAGTGTATGATCACAGACATATAAATTAAAAATTGTTATGAATCTAACAAATAATTATTGTCTTTGTTTCAAAAAAAATTGTCTCTGATATACTTATATACAAGTTGAGGTACAAACTAGATGTACGTACCTCTAGCTAGCAGACCTATAATATTTTCTTTATTGGCTTTTACTCAATACACATAATGTTCGTCAATGTTAACTTCGCGATAACTTTTATTTTAATAATTCACCGGGTCACATGTTGAATGTAAGTTGTTGGTTTGGCCTACTAGTGAAATTAAATGATTATATAAAACTACTACGTGTAATTTAGTTTACTTAATTTGAATTATCCAAATGATTTACTTCATAGAAACATTACCTGGGCAATAAATTGTTGGATGGGGTAGTGCATCTAGTTTAGTTATGAACTTATAATTGTGATGGAGGGCATGCACTACAACTCTTTGTGTGTATTGTCACTATTGTGTATTCTCTTCTTTCCAGATTATTTTGATTCTTATAATTTAACATAAATTAAATAAAGTATGGATGTAAATAAAAGATGTAGGATGTAGATCAAATAGTAAAGAGTGGGATGTAAAAAATTACTTAGAAAAAAGAGTGTTTTGGTCAAACTTTTTTTTAAGAAAAACAAATAAATTGAAAAATTATTTTTGATGAATAAAAAAGAAAAATGAGATTTTTTTTTGTGTGAGACGGAAGGGGTTTAATATATACTCTTCCGTCCCGAATTTGATTACAAATTGCGGGTTATGAGGAAAAATTTTCTACTTTTTGAAATTATTTTATTTACAAATTGGTATATCATCCAGACCCTACTGTTGTGGGATTCAACTGGGTTGTTGTTGTTGTACAAATTGGTATATCAATAAGATAAAAAAATTACATATTAAACAACTACGTCAAAAGCTCTACAAAACAAGATATGACAAGGATATTTTATTTTATCAAATACTTAATGAAATACCATAAATAAACAAAAGTTATCGAGAGGAAAGAAAAAAATTATAATCAAAATAGGGGCGGAGGGAGTATGAGAGTAAGACACTCAATAGTCAATACTTTTCTTCAAATTTCATTATATTGTAATTTGGGGGGTGGGGGGGTTCGGACTTCTTTAAAAAATGAGGCCAGGGTAGATTGCTGGGCTGTCTGGCGGATCTTAAGGCCCAAATTATACCCTTCAATCCATTTGCAGGATCAAATTTGTAGCCCATTAGACTAATCGGAAGCTCTGGCCCAATAAGTCAATCTGACCGCGGAGCCCATCATGGTCATGTGTCAAACCCACACAATGTTAGGATTTAACGAATTTTAATACGGAGTATTGGGGAATGTTTCGATACACGAAACACTTCCTAGTGAAAATTAAGTGATTTTATTTCTCTTTTTTTGCAATAGATAAATTTAGGAAAATTTTAAAAATTTACATTTTTTGCGTGTAAACCATGAGGCTCCGGTCCACTGACTCGGACACGTTGACAGGGAGACCGAACCAAACTTATACAGGTAGATTTTGATGGATTTCGTCCGGTTTGAGCTTGGAAAGAATGGTGCACAATTGCACACCATTAGGTGGAGGGAGATATAAAAAATGCCTTAGATTGATTGGTCTCCCAATTTTGGAGGATATGACCTAAACACTTTTTTTTTGAGCAAGTTCCAGTGTTCAGATGTTATGAAATATTAAGACTGAACTTTTTTTACAATTAACAAAAAATGTGAAAAGAAGTAAATATTCGTAATATCACAACCCATGAATCTTTAACTCATGAGTCATGACCAAAATAAAAAATTAAAAGAGAACAGGAAGAATATGTGTTTTTTTTAATTCACTTATACTCCGTATTATATATATCCATGCAGGGCCGGCCCCGAAAAATGAAAAAATAAAATTGGCCCTGTCCAAAATTTACATTTTGTGCCCTATTTTATATTTTTAGAATACTTTTTCTTTAAAATTATTAACAAATTTAAAAATATGGTGCCTTAAATTTTACGGGACCCTGTGCAGTTGGCCACTTTGCACACCCTCCAGGCCACCCATGTATCCATGAATCCTCTATATCTTTTATTTGTTATTTTTTTTAAAATTTTGTGACAGAAATATTCGGTAGAATACCTAGAAAAGGGATTCTTGGTGAAGGTATACTCAGAAAGAAGTTGCCCTGGGTTACTTGTTGCCTTACTTGAAGCTTTTGAAGAGATGGGCCTTAATGTCCTCGAGGCTAGGGTTTCTTCTACCGACCATTTCCATCTTCAAGCTTTGGGAGGTGGAGAGGTAATTAATATACAGTAATATGCATGCCACCTACATACTTATATATATTATACCTAACACTATTTACTAAGTAAAAATGATGTTAATCACTTTTTTTTTACGTAAAATGCGCAATATTTACTAAGTAAAAAGTATCTAAGCATGAGGCTAGCTAGGTAATGTGCATATAATTTTATCAGAGCGAAGAGGGTGATGAAGATGGCAGGATGAATACAGAAATGGTGATAGAAGCAATTTCAAGGGTAATCAAGGATTGGAATGAGAACAAGGGTGGAGATGGCGATGTGGAATAATGGATAATGAATGTATGTGTTTGTTGATGTCTTTTTTTTTTTTGATCTTGATGGAATTGAATTCTATGATTCTAAATCTAGCTAGCAATGAAGCTAGTTATGGCATGGGAATCTTGTAATATGATTTATATATAATCCTTAATTGATAATCGAAGATTGTCAATAAACCAAATCAACCAAACTATTTTCAGTACGGTTTATTCGAGAATTGGAGTAAAAGTAAAAAATAAAATTTACAAATTTAAAAACTACATAAAAAAAACTCTACAAAACAAGAGGTGACACGATTATATTATTTTATCAAATGAGTAACGAAAATAAAAGAAAAAGATTGAAATTTGACCTTTTGAATAGTAAATATATTCATGCAACTTACTTTATTACTCGATACTATTTTTAAAATATTGGTGTGAGTGAGGTTCAAATTCATGACCATGGTCAACTTGATTCCCGTATTGTATAAAGAAACCCCCGATTAAAAACTCATAATTTTGTTATAGACCCCCCCCCCCCAAATGGTATATTCATAAATTTCCAGACATGAAATGTTCAATATATTGCGTGAGAGATCACCTTAGTATGATAGCAGAATATTTGACTCAAATTATTTTTAATTCTATTCTTTTCTTTTATTTTAATATTTGAGGAAGAACAATGCATGTAACAATTACAAGGTTGAACAATATAGCCAAAATCTTTAAAATGGCCCACTATTTGATTCAAGTAGGATCTTATAAGCTGGAACTCAACCGAGACAATATCTCTAACATTGTCTAATGTTAGTTCAAATTACAATATATATATATATATATATATATATATATATATATATATATATATATATATATATATATATATATATATATTATATACTCCCCCCGTTCCTTTAAACCCTTCCACTTTTGACTTTTGGCAAAAATAAGGAAAGTGTAATTTTAGTTGACTTTTCAATTTTGCCCCCGATGTGATGGGTAAACGTAAGACGTGATAGTTTGGTTATTAGTGAAAAAGTATGATGTGATAGGTAGGGTATGAAAAAGTAAGGGTAAAAGTAGTTTTTTAATAGAAAGTGAAAGTGTTTTAGGGAATTCAAAAAAAACGAAAGGGGAAGGGTTTTGTGGAACGGAGGGAGTATATATATATATATATATATATATATATATATATATATATATATAACTTCTAATTAGAGACAATTATAAGTTATATTTTTCCAAGTGACAAATTGTTAAGGTTGAAAATCCTGTTTTGCACCAAAAACCATGACCATGTAAATTGTTATAACATTTTTGCCAGGTGCATAAATAAATATTTCAAACATTATGAGAATTGAAATTCGAGGGAGAAATGAATTCTCTCGAATTGTTTAAATATATCTGGTGTCATTCTTTACGTTTCTTATTTCAATGCATTCTCCGAAAACTTCTTATAGTGGATGCCGAGTCATCCGCTTTTATGTACGCGAATCTCAAATTAAATCTTAAATATGATTTTAGATTAGATCAAATCAAGTTATATCCGGAAAATTCACAATGTGCATCGATTTTAAATAAACAAATCCAAAATTAGTGCACGACGACAGGGATCCTGCAAATCAAACAGATGGATGCACGCGAGCTAAGCTCTATAAATTACTTCATCCGTCCTTATTTAAATCGTATTCTTTACTGAAGTTATTTTCAAATCATTTTATATAAAAAACAATGAATTATATATTTAAAAACTATATCAAAAGATCTATAAAACTCTACTAGTAGTGATATGATTATATTATTTTATCAAATGACTAACAAAAATAGGAAAAGAAAGAGAATGAAGTTTGACCATGTGTGAATAATAAACAGACAATTTAATTTGGAACAGATAGAGTATAAATTTTGTATAAGAATATTTTCATAAATAAAATTATGAATTAATAAATAATTCATAATTAAAGTCTTATTTTGAAATATGGAATATTAAGTGCTACTAATTACAAGTAGAAAAATGTTTAGTTTTGGTACTATACACAAGAAATTTCACTTTAGGCCAAATTAATTTTTAAACTTATACCCAATATGATGCATACACATGCATATTTATTTTTATGTTCAGTCCATCAAACTGAGTAAAAATCTAATATTATTACCAAACCAAAATAATAGTACTAGAAATTAAAACTTTTACATCATTATGATTTATGATACATAGATCATAAATTGTTGAAGCATAACCATGACCTGCTAGCACGCAGACTCTTTGAGGTCTTCCCGCCGGGACCAATGCCTCCGTCACCGGAGCACGGCTGCTGCTCGCCGCCGACGTCGTCCCTAAACATCTCCTCGACCCTCAGACGGAAATCCGACCCCAACCCTTTTCTCCGGCCGTTCGAATCCGCCGTCGGGGTGGGCGGCGGCAACGAGAAAGACGACGAACAGGACGACGACGAGATCGACGGGGCGACGGCCTTCTTGGAGGAGTAGCGCCGCGAGAAAGAAAGCGGGAGCTGCAGAAGCTTGGTGGGCAGGGAGGAGGTCCGGGCGATGAAGCCTCCGCCGCCGCCGCGGGAGGAGGATTTCAGGCGGGCGGTGGCAGGGGAGGATGAGGAATTGTAGGACGGCGGCGGCGTGAGGGGCGGGAGGGAGGCGGCGGAGAGGGGGTGCTTGGGGGTTCCGGGCTGGGATTCCCACCGGAAAGGGATGGAGCTTTTTGAAGACTCGCAGGAGAAGAATCTGAAAGAGGATTCTTTATTGGCAGAGGATTTTTCTTCTTTTGATAAAAGCCTTGAGAAGAACTTATCATTTTTCTGGGCAATTATCATTTGGGTTTGTGTGTGTGGATCTGATCTGAGCATGAGGAAGAAATTACAGAGTTAGGTGATTCAACTGAACTGAATTTGTGAAGATGACGACCAGAAATTATTGTTTTAAAGAAGGGTTGTGGGCCGGCGGGAGTCGGCAGAGTAAATGAATGAATTTCATTTTTGGGTTGAAATTATATATTAAAACGTACTCCGTTTTACATCAGCGTTTTACATCAGAGATTAAGAGTAGCGTTTTGAAAAGACTATATGACGGTAGCTTTTAACATTTTTAGAACTAATTCACACCATGAAAATTTTATTCAAAACGCTACTGGTGGTAAAAAATATTGATCTCAAACAAGGCCTTAATAGTATGCATATTTCTACACATAAAGAACCACACACATGTATTAATCAACTCTTGATGCTAATTTGGGGACTAGTAGTTTATTGATAGAAAAATCATCCATTTCCCTCCCACAATGACTTGAACAAGGAACTTATATCTACTATATGTGAATGAGAATCCGAAGATGCAAGATTTTAGACGATAGCTAGGAATAATCTATTTTACAAATGGGGCACCATATTTTTTCCAAATGAAGTCTTGATGTATAAATATTTTACTCAAATATTGTTGTAAGATTAAGCTTTCTATAAATATAAATTGATTTTACGGTGTTTCATATTTTTTAAATATTTAAATTTATATTATTTCACATACATTTTTTCCTTAAAATAAAAGTGAAACTAACATTTTTTTTTGTGACAAACATTAAAAATTATTTTGGCAGGACAGAGGACATACAAGCAGGACTTTATTACGGAACATGACGAATTTAATGAATTAGGGGCCTAATATTATATGGATGGGGCACTCTCTTATTGGTTTTGAAAAATTCAATTAGAATAATTATAAAATAAAAATCGGCCTCGAGAGCCTTTCATGTAACATTAAAAAGTAAAATTATTACGGAGTATTTCATATTTGATTTGATGTAGAGACGACAGACGAGAATTATTTCCGACCACCAATTTCATTCTTTGAAAAGAATGAAAACTTTAATGTGAGACAATAAAAGAAGGGAGAAGTTTATTTTGGAACAGATAAAAGTAAAATATGGTTTTTTTTACTTCTACTCGGGTATGTATTAATTATCTAATAATTGGAATAACAAATACTATCTCTCTTCCTAAAAGAAGTTTAGTGTTAAAATGAAGTCATAGAAATAAAAAAATAAAACTTAAAAATTTTAAAACTACTTCGAAAGTTCTACAAAAAAGATGCAACAAGAATATTTTCTTGTATCAAATGATCAATAGAAACATGTAAATAAACAAAAGTTACGCAATAAAAAGAAGGGAGTAAATAAATTGGGATGACAAAATGGGTATATCAAGTTGTCAACGGTGTAAATTGGATGATAAATAGTGAGGTAGTGATTCAGACGCACTGAACAAGAAAGTGAGGGGGGAGCAGATATATATACTTGATGAGTCTCCCTCAAAAATTCTCATTTTGAATAGTATTTAGTTAAATATTTACACGCTTTGATTACATATTGTGAGAAATGTATATTGAATTATAAAATAAATTTAATATAATTGGATTCATGTTAGGATCTAGTTTTTTTAGCAAATCTTTATTTAGATTATATTTAATTTATGGTCAAAGTATATAACTCTTTAGCCAAAAACATATCCAAATGGGAACTTTTTTATGTGACGGAGGGAGTAAATAAATATATGATGCATGGATTTGTCAACAAGCACCACCCACATTCCACTCAACCACACTCTACTTTCCAAGTCAACCTAGTCAACTTTTACTCATTCCACTCCTTCGGTTGCAACTATATAATGGTGTCACTAGTTTTTTTTAGATTACTTACGATATTTCGTTTGAAAATTTAATTATTAATACCCCTGTCAATTGGACTCAAAACTCATAGTACCTCCATCCCGAGTATTTATCTAAATTCGACTTTTTTCTATCTATTATTTTTAAAGCTTGACTTATAATTAAATAAAATATACAGTGTATATTAATCAGATAAAATAATATTTAAAAATATAATTTATACGATAAAATTGATATAATTATTTTGTATCAATATCTAATATTATTTATATTAAATTTGAGATCAAAATTTACTCATTTTGATTGAAATAGGTCGAAAAGGGACAAACACTCCGGGACGGATGAAGTGTTTTGCTATATGGAGCTTGTTCTATTTAGACTTTGTTTGGAACAACGTTTTTTTTGTTATTAAAGTTAGCATTTTAGATAACATTTTTCTTTTGCATGGTCTTGGAGAATATTTTTAATTAAAACATAATTTAAATTTATAAAATGTTAAAACAGAAACGATAGATAAATTTCATGTTAGAGGCCATTGTAATAATGAGGGAGTACATTGGTGGGTTGAATCACTTGAACAATTTGTCTGGTGGCACGAGTGCGACTGCAACAATGCAATTATTAGTTCTTGAGAATTTGCTCCAATGTTCATAAATTATTTTTTTTTGTTGGATTTTTTATACAACTCCGTAATTAATAATGCATTGCGTATGATTGTCTAAAGAGTAGTTAGTAATTAATAACGTTGAAAACATACTTATGTACTCCGTATGTTTTTAAATTAAAGTTCACCTACATTTGATATTTATTTTTATAACATGACACGTGCTAGCTTATGAGTTGGATGTCGATTCTTGGCTATTGTGTCAGTTGTTCTAAAAAATATTAGATATATTGGTTGACTCTGACATAATTAGTTCTACTTTTTTACTTTATTATTTTTTTAATCTTGGGACAGTCAAGTCACTAAATTTTGTACCACATATTGAAGCGTGGATCGTTGAACTCATTTCGTCGAGACCTGCAATTCAAGTATAAATGTGATTGTAAAAAACGACTTTGAAAATATCTTATTTTAAGGATTGTCATTTCAATTTTTTGTTTTAACTTAAATCAAAATTGGAAATATTTTTTTTCTAAAAAAATCATTATAAAATTTTTGACAATATATTTCAAGGCGTTACAGGAATAGTGGCGATAAAGTCATCCAAACTTCTTCTCATCCAGTGTTCGTGCTCTTTTTCTATGCTTAAGAGGTTGTAATCAGTTTGAACGAATATTGTTCTGATGGATATGGGAGCTACTAAAAAATAGTGTTTCTATCATGAATTTAATGTTCACCGATCTTGATTCTTCTCACATAAAGCAATTGATGAAGAAATATGAAATAAATAAATAAATATGTCTATATAATAACTTATTGTATCTGTGAAAACTGAGAAGGTTTGAAACAAGAATTGAACACAATGTGGTAGAGGTTCTTATAGTGTCTAAAATATTCAAAGTAGTGATCAACTGATGATCACTTCACTCAAAATTGGAGCAATTTAATTCCTATGCATTTTTTTGTTCAATCAAGTCTTTCTATTTAGTTTTTTTTTGTTATCCATTGGTCCAAATTATCACCGATGACGCCCAATTTAACTATGGGTGACATAACGATGTTGTCTTTCCATACAAATTTTATTTATTTATTTATTTAATTTTAGTTACAATATGATATACAGTTTTATTTATCCTTAAATTTTTCTATAAAAGAATAAATAAACACATACATATTGCATTATTTGGTTAAAAGATTTAAAACAATATGAATCAACATGCCAAAAGGGAGCCATGGGTAGACAAAAAGTGAAGATCGAAAGGAACTTAATAGTATATGGATTAATTAAATTGCTTTGATTTGGAGTAACAATACCAATTTAAACTAACATTTTTATATAGTACTCCATCCGTCCCAAATTATTTGCTAAATTTGCTTTTTCAACAGTCACGGAAACTTTTGTTTATTTCTACGTTTTCATTGGTTATTTGATAAAATAAAATATTCTTGACACTTCTTATTTCGAAGAATTTTTCATGCAGTTTTTTGATATGTAATTTTTATTTTTTTTCTTTACTAATATGTAAATAAAATGAATTGAATAAACTTGATATTTTACCTCGGTAATAGAAATGTGACAAATAATTTGGGACGGAGGGAGTACATACCTTTGTCCTCAATAATTTTTCATTAAACTATCATTAGTAAATCGTTATTAATTAGTTAACCAAGATCAAACATAGCTATCCATGTCCCATGCAAAAAATTTGCCTTTCATTTTGTTATGCTTGATTTAGATTACTTTAATTTTATTTATTAAGATATTAGTATAAAATTTTTAAAAAATGGAGTTAATTTCAATAAGGTAGTGTTTGAGAATTATAATTCATCGAGATTTCAATTTCAACATTTGAAATACCATAATTTCAAATGCTAAATGTTGTTTGAAAAGTTATAGAATTTCATTTTTAGAATTTGAATTTTGATGTCGGTAAAAACACTAACGGAAGTCAGTTGATATGCGTGAAATTGTTATCACACGAGGAGCGGTCACTCTTTAATTACAAGTTTTAAATTAAATAAAAGTTGGGCTTGAATCTGTAAATGACATGGGAAAAAGTGTAAATTTATAGTTGAGTTGGTTTTGGAGTAACACAATTTGGTCCAAATCCAAATCTAAATTTTTGGAGTTTCCAAACAAGTAAGTTGGATCAAATCTAGCTAGACTTGAAATTCAAATTCAAATTTCCAAACACATCATAAATAAACATAGATAAAGAATGAAGATATTTATATATTTTGACCATTTCAATACAAAAGTTGAAATTTAAATAGAGATGGAGAGATTTTGTTGAAGTTTTTCTTTTTCTACGGAGTAGTTGTTTATAAGAGATTGCTGTCAACTCGATCAAATTTGCTCTTTTCATAATATATACTCCCTAATAATAATAGTAATAACAACAGTAACACAAAAAGAATAATACTCCTTCAGTTTCTATTTTGGTTACAATGTTTTATTGTCTCAAAATGGATTACATTATTCCACCTATGTAAATTTGGACACCTTTGAGACAAAAATGCCCCCATTTTTTATATCTTCACCCCCATGACTACAAAGGTGAAAAATTTATTTGATTTGAAAGAACATTAAAGTATGTGAAAAAGGGATATTGTAATCAAAATAGAGACCTAGGGGTAATAAATAACAATAATAACAAGAATAAGAATACCCTTTACGTCCCATATATTTCTAATATAATTTAGGATGAGGTAAAGATCACTGGACTAGGTTATACGATACTTGAGTTGAACTACATTAAAAAAATTCGTAGTTCAACTCAAGAGCTTAAATATCGATTATTTTCTTGAATTTTTCAATGTGGGATACAATCTAACACACACTCTCAAATGGACAACCGTGCCATTTTGAATCTAACCGGTTGACTACTAGCAAATAGACTCTCCTCCCATTGTACTTTTTTTAGTGCAAACACTTAAATGACCACAAACTGTTGAGTATGGACTTTCAGACGGGCAATTGGTTTAAACGAGTTGAGCCACATGGCGTCGAATATACACTCCACATGACTAAGTTGATTTGAACTAAACAAACATCTTAACAAATGAGAAGTGCTAAAATTGGCCCAAATATCATGATGGAATTTAGGATGTGGTAGGGATCACTGGATTTGGTCATACGAAACTTGGATTAAACCACATTCAAAGATAGAATCCAATCGATTATTTAATTCAAATCAACTTAAATATTATTCCGTAATTATTTTCTTCTCACTTTTCCAATGTGTGATAGACTCTAACACTTTCTTCTTATTGATTTTCTTTACTATCTCCCGTCTAACACTTTGAGTATTAATATTTTTAATTATATATATATATATAACAAAAAAATATGATTTATCTAAAAGTCACAATTCAAAATGAATTGGATGATATTAAATTTAGATCGCGATTCAATAAATTTTTTCTAAAATTTATGATTAATTTTTTAAAACAATTGTTCACAAAAACAAACAGGAAAAATATGGGAGTAATAATAAGAAAAAAAGTGCAATCAGTGTAGGGAAAACCTGGTTTACCCCCTTTAACGATAACCGTGTCTAGCTTTTTACCCCCCGGCCCCCCGCCTTCTAGCCACCAAATATTTGGTAGTTGTTTGTGGGCCTATAGTCCACATAAAAGTTTTAGACAAAAACTTATTACGACTAATAATAAACACAGCCCAAACTATTTGTACAATTTTGTACGGCCCAAACAGACCATCTTTTAATGTTGTACTGTACTTTTCTGTTTCACGGGTGGTGAGTAATAAGTTGAAAGCGAATTGGGCCTGCAGCAGTGTGGCCCATTTCTATTTTTGGCCAAATAAGGGTGAGACAATAGAAACTTATTTTCCATGTGGTTGCCTCACATCCTCTTGCTTTCAATGTTACAACTGGCCTATGGTGCCAAATCCCCATCTATGCATTACATAAGAAACCTTCTTTCTTTATTTGAAAGTAATAATTTTATTTAACATTGGGGAAGTATACATTGATCTATAATGTAATTTTACTGTGGGTCAAGTCCAAAGAGAGGGGATGCACTAGGGGTACGAGGTATGTTCGGGCCGGGCTAGGGTGGGGGATTTACCGAGGGTTAGGGGTAAAAACTATCAATTTTTCGAATGAAGCATTCTATGAACCTCTGGCCATCCCATGACATCGAATCTCAATGTCATGAAACCAATGTGCTAAAAAAACCACCAATTTACTTGCCTATGTGGATTGAAACAAACAAGTTTTCAAAAAGAGAGAGAGAGAAAAACTTAAAAACTGGACGTGAATTATCAGCCCAATTCAGGCCCATACCAATTTCCTGCAGAAGCTTTTTCATCGGCTATTTTCTACCGTATCTTCTTCTTCTTCTTCCCAGCTTTTCTTCTGCCTGAAAATGGAAACCTCTCTGAGCTTCACGAGCTCGAGTTTGGTTCCCGCCAAGCCCGCGCCTTTCCCCCCGCCCCATTCCAACTTCATTTCTTCGGTAAGTTATAATTCTTTCATTCCAAAAACCCTTTGTTTTTGCAAACCCTTCCCCAAAATCTCTCGAATTTAATCTCCATATGAATTGGTTTATTCGACTTCCTGAAAACAGAGATTAAAAAGCTCCAGACTTGAGAAGAACCGAAAGAATAATAATTTGTTTCTGGTGAAAGATTCTGGGTCGAGCAACAATGGTTCTTTTAGCCCTTTTCCTGTTTTTCCTAACAATATTTCCTTGGAAGAGGTATTTTTTGTTGAATTGATCACTTGATTATATTTAGTGTTCTTGAGATTTGATCTGTTATAGTATCGAATGTATGAAGTTAAATTTTCGGGCAAGATGGAATGGCAATAACAATGGGAAGAGTGACAATGTCACTCTCCATCAACAGCGTATGTCGGATAAGTCCTTTGAGGCTGTGATTATAACTAATTCGGAGTATTTGGAAATTAATAGGCCATTGGAGCAGAATATGGAGAGGGATTTGAGACATTTAGAGCAGATGGATTACTCAAAGTTGATGTTGTAAGTTCCAAAGTTCCCGTTTTTTCCCTTCTCTGCATTTAGAGTGCAAGAAGGTTTGAGTTGAAGAGACTGTGTTGTCTAAATTATCTTCTTTTTTTGGCACATAGGATTTTCTTAATGACAAACTGCAAGAAGGTTTTTTGAAGAGAATCCGTTATGCAATGAAGCCTGACGAGGCTTATGGATTAATTTTCTCTTGGGACAATGTAGTGGTAAGGTTTGAGTTCTTCCTTTACTGAAGAAAATAGTCGTTTCCCTCAGCTTGTTGCGAGAGGGGAAAGGAATAACATTTCGATCACCCTTTATTCCTTGTGAGAAACATTATGTTTATCTTTTATTCATTGAGATACAAACTAAGCCCTTTAAAGAATTTCTTTCTAGAACCCTTCATCCAAATTTGGCCCTAGCAGGAAATGTTTTTTTAATCCTAACACTTTTTTTTCTTCAGGCAGACACTCAAGCTCTAAAGCGGAATGCTTGGAATCAGCTTGCTATTGAAGAAGGTAACTAGATCTCATGGGCTCTCTCCTTTGATTAGCGTGAGTCAGTTCGTGATTTTTCCTCTTTCAAATCTTTAGGGTCCATTTCGATCATAGAAAATACTAGAGAAAGAAAATAGGAAGAAAAATATAAAGACACATTGGAAGGAAAGAATACAAGGGGATATAAATGTAGTCTAAATAATTTTTGATAATGATATTCTTTTTATTTGTATGGACTCAGAAATTGGAAAATATATTAAAGAAACTACTAGTCATGATTCCTTTTCTTTTACATTTTCCAAGATAAAACCAAACATTAGAAAGTAACTTTTATTGATAGTTTGATACCTTTTCCCCTTTCCCTAACAATTTTGAGATCCAGATGTGCCCTTAGCAATGCTAAGGAAAGTTATTTCTTAAGTGTGGAATCACCTTGGAAGATACCAAGGAAAGTTTATTTTAAAAAAATAGTCTAAAACATTTCTGTGAGGTGTAAGGGGTCAATATATGCAATGAAGCCTGACAAGGCTTATGGATTGAAGTAATGGAAGTTTAATGTGCCATGGAAGTTTAGGATTGCTTCTCTATTTTGCTTCCTACTCTCTCTGCATTTCCCTTGTTCCAAATGGACCTTTAGTTGTAGTTGCTTTCTTTTCCATACCCTGTCAATGTTTTCATTGGTTTAGCTCACTGATTAAAGGTTAAAAAGTATAATGGATGTTATTTAGAAGAAAGTAATTGACTAATCACTAACAGCTTTACTTGTGATGTTATTATATTCAGGGAAGGAAATTCCTGAAGATAACGGCACACAAAGGCTTTTGCTTCAAGAGGGTGTTGATAATGTACTAAATGAGGTTAGCATAACATAATTTTCTCTTGAGTGTTTATTAAATTTTGCTGGAGAAAAAATCTTATGTACATCAAACAACATGTAACTCCTGATAATTGCTCGCCCTCATATCATCGAGTTTCTACTCTATTTTTGTTTCTCAACTTCAAGCCCTTGTTTGGTTCAAAAGAAGCAATGTGAGGGAGGTAGGGTGGGAATGGAAAGGTGAGGGGTTTTTTTGTGTGATGGGGGTGGGGGGTGGGGGGTGGGGGGGATATGGAGGCGGTTAAAAATTAGGTCTGGTTCGATGGAGTTACAGGAATTAATATATCAGAAAATGTAAAATATTGAAAAAATAACTCTCCCAGGTCCCAAAGTGCCCTAAATCGGAGGAGTAAAGATATAAGAAGTTTGGAGGATTTTATAGCTCCTCCGTTTCCCCACACCAAGCACACAATTCCTCCCACCCCACCCCCTCTTCCCCAAAATCCTTCAATGATGCAAATGCCAGATCAGAGGAATAGTCATCTAACATGCTTTTTCACGTTAATCACGTATTCTTCAATTTTCAGGTTTTGCAATGGGAAATGGAAGAAAATGATTTATGTAGATTGAAGTTAAGGTTATCAGAGTTATTCTGTGACAATTTAGTCAAAGTAAGAGCCTTTGTCCATCGATGTACTTTTTATCACTTACTAGTTATTTTTAAATAATGTATCACTTATTTTCCAGTTTTCAGAACCAATAGAGGGGCTGAACGAATGGCTTGATGCTGTTTCTACAGCACGCATTCCATGTGCTGTTGTTTCGAGTCTCGATCGAAAAATTGTGGTTGATGCCTTAGAACATCTGCGCCTCAACAAGTATTTTCAGGTTTTCAATCACATGTCACTTGATGCTTGTTGCATTTTCATTATTTGTTCTTGTTACTGGTATTATTTACTCTATCTGTCACAAAAAAAATCAATTTTTTTTGCACCATAGGAAGTTTTGTTTCGTCAGATGCTTTTTTAATGTTTTTTTTTTAAAGTTACAAACATTTTAAACACGATAAATTTAGTTAAACGAACAAATATTGAGGTGGTAGTGTGGTTTCAGTGGTGATAATAGATTAATAGTCTTCTTGGAGTTGCAGGCTATTGTGACAGAGGAGGATGGTATGGAGTCCATAGCACACAGGTTTCTATCTGCAGCAGTTAAGGTATGGTTAAAAATTAAAATTACCACTTTGACACGATTTGTTGCTTATATTTGCATCTTTGGCCAATTCATTGTTTCCTCTTTCTCTACAAATAAGAACTTAAGCTAATACGCCATAAGAAAATCGTCATTTTCTTAAATTTTCAGCTGGACCGGAAGCCGTCAAAGTGTGTGGTGTTTGAAGACGATCCGAGAGGCATAACGGCTGCCCACAACTGTACGATGATGGCCATAGCACTCATCGGTGCTCACCCGGCGTATAGATTGGGGCAGGCCGACCTCACAGTTGGTGGCTATAACGACCTCTCGGTCATCAACCTCAGGAGATTATTTGCACACAAAGGCTCCAACTTTATGGACTTGCAGAAGCAAGTCATGGAGAAGACTCCTCCTAGAAGGAAGCTCACTGTTGACACCTTTTTCTGATCCAATTTCAGGTTCCCTTTTTTTTTGTATTCAAATATACTTGTAGCTTTTAAATAGAACAGTACAAAAATATTGGAAACCATGAAGCATGTATGTGTTCAAAACACAAACATGGCAATTGGGTTCACATGAGAGTATTATTATTATTGTATGTATATATTATAGTAGTTGCTTATGGGAGCAATGATTTTGTCTGTATGAGTTGAGATTATTACTCCTATCCTACACACTTTGACTGATTTCAACTCTTATCAAGACTGTACTGTGAAATCCTCAAGTACCAAGTAATGATGGCTCTATTTCCAGTTGATGATCCTTGCCCAATTTGTCGCAATGTTTGTTTAGATACTTTTGACGAGCATGCGGTAGATGGCAAGGAATTGTCTGGGTTTATGTGCTAGCATATGATTTGGTTAGAGATGTTCTAGAGCGGGCAGAGATTTTGGTTGAAGAGGAGGTTGCGGTGAACTTCCTGACGAATCTGTTTGAAAAAAAATGTCTAGTCTATGACTAGTTGATATTCTTGTTTTCGGATTGGCAGAGGGGAAACACGCTCGTGTAGACCTTACATGAGTTTACCCTCTTGTCAGGCTCGGGATAATAGATTTGTTGTTGAAAAGACATCGTTGGAGACGAAGTCAGTCAAAATCGCTAAATATGAGAAAACTTGTTTATAGAATTAACATGTGCATTACCTTTGTCTTTGATATATTTGGCTCCCTATTTGGCCAAGCCAATTTGGTACCAAATTTAGGGGCTGTTTGGCAACTTCTGAATAGGTAAGTGCTAAACCAGTAAGAGGTCTGAACCATTAAGTGCTGAACCAGTAAGAGGTCTGAACCATTAATAGCTAGTATATTGCTTAACTATTCAGAGGCAAATGTCTGATCAATTCAGATAAGAGGTCTTAACCATTCAGACTCTGTATAATACTTAACCATTCAGAGGCAAATCTCTTAACCATTCAGACATCTGAACCATTAAGAGGCTGAAACAAACAGTCTGAATCATTAAGTGTTGAATCATTCAGACATCTGAACCATTAAGAGGCTGAAATAAACAGCCCCTTAGTATATATGGCCTTTTGGTACCAAAAAAAATTGCAAGCAGGTCTATACACTTACTGAGTATATCGTACCACACCTCTCTTATCTATTTATCTATATATCTTTTATACGAAATATTAATTATTTTTTAAATTAAAAAAATTAAATTACTATTTACAACATATATATACAAATGAAGACTATATTTTTTACACCCATTTTTAAACCTCGCTCCCCAAGAAAAATCTACTCTAGTAATTTTTAAACTTTAAATAAATAAAATGGCTTTTTTCAACTCTTGTAAATTAAGTTTTCTAAAAAAATAATTTGGATTAAAATTAATTTATATTATTAGTTTAAAAAAATATTTGTAGTAAATTGGCAAATTGGCATATGTATACAATCACTTATAGTATGAAAAGTAAATAAATAACAGAATTTGATGTAACGCTTATGTTGATGAGAAATTGAGAGATACGATACAATTTGACAAATATGGTGATAGGATAAAATTTTTACTTGCTCTCTTCGTTCCTAAATTGATTACAAACTGGAAGTTACGGGGCAACTCTTGTCTTTTAAAATTAATTTATTTACAAATTACACATCAATAAAAAAAATAATGTTACATATTAAAAAATTATGTAAAAAATTTTACAAAATGAGGGAAGAAAAAACATTTTATTAAATACATAACGAAAACACACAATTAGCAAAAGTTATCGTGAAGAAAAGGAAAAAAAATTGTAACATATTTTGGGAAGAAGAGACTAGAGAGTATGTTTGTTTAAAAGTAATTTTTAATTGGTTGGAACAAGCTCCGATACTATTCGTTCAGTTGTTCCACATCCACAAAATACTTTCTACAAAATGAGAAAAAAAATATTTTATTTTATTAAATACTCAATGAAAACACATAAATAAACAAAATTTATCGAGAAGAAAGTGTCTTTTTTTAAAGTATGGAGTAATTTTTACTTATGTTTTGGAACAATGGCTCGGATATTATTCGTTCAATTATTCCACATCCACAAAATACTTTCTACCGGCCCTTCTTCTTTCCCGCCCACCACCGCCGACCGGCGAGCGCTCACGTCGGAGCTATTTTTCCATAAACCCACCGCACCTTTCTCCCCGGCGACTTTACTAAATTGTTTCAAGCGGCAAAAAGATGGCTTGCCTTCACATCTCAGTTCCATCCTTCTCGGTAATCTCAGTTCCCTCCAACTCAACTCTCAATGTTTCTCATTCTCGGTCCAAGTTTCGATCAAGAGCCAATTTCTCTCACGGAGGTAAATTTGTTCTTCAAAATTTTCATTTCTCTGATCTTATCACAATTTCTATTCTTCTATTTCAGTTTTTTTTTTTAAATAAAATCATATTCGCCAATCTCAGTTTATCGCCGCCTTGAGTGGCTGCTAGAATACTGAGATTGTGTCAATTGGAGAGGAAAAGCTTAGAATCTGTTTCCTTGTCTCAATAAAGTCTACAAATTATTGGTTAATTAATTTGTTCAATAGATAATTAGTGTTATGGCTAAGCTTTGAAGGTCTGATTCTCTGGAATTGTAAAGAAATGACTTTATAGTTCTAGGGATTCACTAACAATCAATGGAAAGTGCTTTCTTGTTGATCTGTGTGCAAACCCTCTCAAACTCGAATCGAATTGGAAGCTTCTTTTTATTTGCAGGTGCAATTGCTGAACCAAGAGCCATTAAATCTACCGAACCTCTTCTGATTGACGCTGTTCGTGGGAAAGAAGTGGAAAGGCCTCCCGTTTGGCTTATGAGACAAGCGGGGCGGTATATGAAGGCAGGTTTATACATATATCTTCTTCGCAGCCTATGAATTTCTGTTCTCTCTAGTTGGATATTTTGTGAAAATTTGCATCTGCCCACAACAACAGACCCAATAAAATCTCACAAAAGAGTAGGCTTTGGGTGGGCATGTGTACGCAGACCTAACCCCTACTTGAAAGTAGAGAGGTTGCTTCCATATTTCCATTTGTCCATCCTATGATCAATTATAGGTTTCTCATAGGATTCATATTGTGCTAGTGTTGGTCTTATTGCACATAGGAAAAAACATGCTTAAAGATTGAATTTGACCAATCAGCTAGTATAGTGGAAGACCTTATGAGGCCATATGTCTCTTCCGTCTTTTCTTGTGTGTGTGTTTTGTTAGATTTGTGTGTTTCTTGTAACTAACTTTGTCTCCAATTTTCTTAATAGAGTTACCAAACCCTTTGTGAGAAGTATCCATCTTTTCGTGAGAGGTCAGAAAATGTGGATCTTGTGGTGGAAATTTCTTTACAGCCATGGAAAGTGTTCCGTCCGGATGGGGTAACATGCAACATATTGATTTTTTTTAAACCATGCTATCGTTAAAACAATCCTCTTTTAATGTGTGATTTGATTACACTTTATCTCTTGAACATTGTGCCCACAGGTTATTTTATTTTCAGACATTCTTACCCCCCTCTCTGGAATGAACATACCCTTTGACATTATAAAGGGGAAAGGTCCAGTCATATTTGATCCTATCCAAACTGCTACAGATGTTGACAAAGTTAGAGAATTCAATCCTGAAGAATCCGTTCCATATGTTGGCGAGTCATTAAGTATCTTGCGGAAAGAGGTCAGAAAGAAGAAATAGTATTGCATTTCTGATTCATTCATCATCTGAGACAAATGATTTGTAAGTTCAATTTGTTAGGTTCATAGTGAAGCGGCAGTTCTAGGATTTGTCGGGGCACCTTTTACTATGGCTTCTTATGTTGTTGAAGGGGGTTCCTCAAAGAACTTCACAAAAATAAAAAGGCTCGCTTTCTCCCAGCCCAAGGTAAGTCAACTGGTCTCAATCTGTTTGACTGTTTTCCGTTCTGAATATATTATGGAGTATCAGTGTAATCTTTCATTCTATTCATCCGGGAATGAGTGTAAGTTTGAAGACACACTTAATATGACCTCCTTCCGAATGAAAAGAGCATTGTTTTTTGTTTCCATACATTTTTTTTGTCAAAAAGAGTCCTATTTCATCAATATAAATAGATCGATATAGGTATATATTGAAGGGAAGTAATTTAATAAAGTTTGTTAAACTAACAAATAAAACAACTAAGCTTTGTCCCAAGTAGCTTTTAAACTAACAAATACAGATTACATTTTAAAAATATACTAGGAATTTATGGCGAAATGTCGTACCTTAACATAGAGCCGGGTTGGTACTTTAGTAAGACCTAAAAAGGTAGGAATTGCTTGACTGAATGTGCTAAATCTGCTGAATTATTAAAAAATGAATTACGGAGTATTTAAAAATATACTTCATATATATTTAACTGCGTGACATTAAAGAAAATACTCATATCTAAAGATAAAGTTAATAGCCAAAGACTTTGTAATCCAGCATCATCACGTTGACTCTCCCAAATGGGAGGTCACAGGCCCGAAAAAAACTTTATGTGCTTTTATAGGTTGAGAGCGTCTGAACAGAAACTAGAATTATAATATAGTTATTAGTGTTTGAAAAAATATAGGCTTCGTTTGGTAACAGCGTTTTCGATTAGCGTTAGCGTTTTGGATAAAATTTTAATGGTGTAGATTAAATCTAAAAACGCTAACGCCTAAAGGCTACCGTCGGATAGCTTTTTGAAAACGCTAACGCTAATCTCTAACGCTGATGCCAAACGGGGCCATAACTTAATAGTATCGACTTTTAGTCATTTCAGCCAACAAAGCTCTGCAGTTTTCCCTTATAATAAACCAGAGTGGGATTCTTTTGACATGCACCATAGGGGTCATAATATGACGCCCATGTCATTTGAGTGTCATACGGTGCTCTTTTTGACCCTGACATGGTTTTTACCCCTCCCACAAATCCTCTTAGCATAACAATGAAACTGGGGGGTAGGGGTGGGGGTAGGAACCACTATGGGGTCAAACAGAGCATTGTAGTGCCCTCAAATTTGCCCGATGTCTTTTTATGACAATCACGATGGGTGGCAAAAGAACCTTACTCAATAAACCAAGTCCGGCAATGCATGAACGACAATTCGTATTTGGTGGAGAAATCGGCTGATAAGCCTAAACTAAAGTCTGCCAAACAGCTTTTCAAAAAATAAGCTGTTTGGCAATGGTTAAAGACATTGGTAGTCTAGGACAATGATTATGATGCCACACCTGTCCTCATGCAGATCCTTCACGCGCTTCTTCAAAAATTCGCAACCTCTATGGCCAAATACATACAGTACCAAGCCGAAAGCGGGGCCCAGGCTGTTCAGATATTCGACTCGTGGGCCACCCAACTCAGCCCAATGGACTTCGAAGAGTTCAGTCTCCCTTACTTGAAACAGATAGTGGACTCAGTCAAGAAAACCCATCCGGACCTCCCCTTGATCCTATACGCCAGTGGGTCTGGTGGTTTGCTGGAGAGACTACCCCTGACAGGAGTTGACGTGGTCAGCTTGGACTGGACAGTGGACATGGCCGACGGTAGGAGGAGGTTGGGTCCCAATGTGGCGGTTCAGGGCAATGTAGATCCCGGGGTGCTGTTTGGTTCCAAGGAATTCATTACCAGCCGTATACACGACACCGTCAGGAAAGCTGGTAAGGGGAAACATATTTTGAACCTGGGACATGGGATTAAGGTTGGTACCCCTGAGGAAAATGTTGCACATTTTTTTGATGTTGCCAAAGGACTTAGATATTAGAGGATGATGATGCAGGGATGCCATCCATAGTAGAGTAGATAGAACAACCAAACACATATCTATATTCCAATCACTTCTCATATCTCCATAAGTGTTTGGGATTGTGCTTGACAACAATT